GAAGCGGAGCTGAACTGGTTCCAGAGATGTGCAGAAGGTTCCTTCACTGGCTTGGACTGGGATAGCTTCAGGGTGTTTCTAGACACATAGCCAGCACTACCAATCAAAAGATAGCTGGTGCTTCCAGATTACGCTGTGATTGTGCAGTCACACTACCTAATCAAAGAATTTTATGGGGATGCCAGATAATGTCTGCTTCCATCTTTTTTCTTACTGGAAACAGCTCTATTAAGGAAGCGAAATAGAACAACGGCAAATTGCTTTGTATTTGTTAGCATTTCGAACATCCATTGGGCAACTATTCCACTCTTTTTCATATATTTGTTTTGCATTGCTTAATGAAAAATATGGGGGAAGCTGGTGAAAACAGAGAGGGCTGCAAGCGGAATAACATCTGGACCCCCATAAAAATACTATGATGGAGGCAGAGTGATTGCATGATAAAAGTCTTGTCTGAAGTCACCCTTATTCTGAACAAACACCAAACGCAACTGTGGTTGTTTAATTCCCCAGCTAGAATGATAGAACACACAGCCCACTTAGCAAAATAAAATAAAATAAATAAAATAAAATAAAATAAAATAGATCTATGTTCACTTTACTGAAGCGTATAAATGCAGAGCGTGTCTTTGTAATTTGACTTTGAGGCTACCTCAATCAAAGATATTAAATATCTTACTACCAAAGGTCAATACTTTTATGCCTTGATTTCCCACCCTTTCAAAATGATGATGATGATGATGATGATGATGATGGTGATGAGGTCATTCCAGTTTCCGTAATTGGGAATGCAAATGTGGAAAGTGTTACAGACAAATGTAACTTACGTTGTCCCCACTCCCATTAATTGTCTCAGTTCTGCTTCCTACCTGACTTCAATGTAGTGCCTGTGTGTGTGTGTGTAGTGCGACATCTCCCAAATGGGCTGAATTTAAAAAAATTCCTTCAAATTAAAGCACTGAACTTTTTTTTAAAGCCCTGTCAAGGACTTTTAAGATCAGTATTTCAAAGTCAGGTGGCTGTTATGAAAACTGATTTGAGAAGGGCATTCTTTTGGTTTGACTTCCTTGAAAAATACTGCAAAATGTCTGGAGGTTTTCCTTGCCCATCTGATCTTTGGGGGGTGGTTGATGTTATATTATTGGATTGGCTACCAATGGAGGATGGTTGATAGCTGTGTACTTGGACTATCTCTTGATTTTAGTGTGATTCAGTGTTTAAACTGGCAAATATTTGAGCTGGAAAGAAATTCAAAGGATTCTTTCTTGCCTTGATCTTGAATCTTCCTTGTACACAGAGAGATTCATTAAAAAGAACAGGTAGCCCCTGCATGTTCTATACGAACATTTCCACCAAAGTCACAATATCATCCATGTGTTTATGCTTCCATGTAATAGCACTTGCATCTACATTACTCCTGAATATTCAGATTGTCCTAAGGAGCTCTATCTCCTTTTGTATTTAACAACACTGTGAATTTTATTTATGTGTTTGTTTACAATATCCAAACAAAGTCTGAAACAGTGAGCAATGAAAATAAAAGGTGGAAAAACATGTCAAAAGCTTGTTTTTTAAGAGACAGAATACCAATAAAAATTTAAAGAGCGTTGTTGAAATAAATAAGTATCCAGCAGACACTGAAAACAATGCCATCTCCTTGACTTTCAAAGTCGGGGGGTTCCACAGAAATGGAGCCACCACACTTAAGACACTGCAGCCAGGCCATGTAGACCCATCAGGAACATGCTATCTGATAGTCTCAGTGACTGGGTAAGTTGGTAAGGGAGAAGGTGCTCTCTCAAGTACCTTGGTCCCAACTTTATGCATTTGTAACAGAATTTTAAACCTGGCCTAGGAGCAAACAGGCAGCCGGTGCAGTTCCCTCAGGAAAGGGAAAATTGTGTGCCCAAAAGTGGCAGCTCCCAATAACAGCCAAGTCACTGCATCCTGCACCTGTTTGAACTTCCAAAGCAGTCTAACGGGCATCCCACATAGAGTGCAGTGCAGCAATCTGGTCTTGAGGTTACTAGCACATTTATCCCTGGCCAGGAGAGGTCATAGCTGGTGTGCCTGCTGGTGTAATTTCTAGACCCATCCTTTACAGCTAGGGTGCAATCCTCATGGCCTACGGAGCCCATGTGAGCTTCAACGGCAGACTTTCACCCCCTTAGTCAAGTGGTCAGCTGGGCTTAGAAAAAACAGCATTGCAAGCAGCAGGGAACCTCATTCTTATCTCTGATCAGTGATCTGAAATAGGAGCAATTGAACGTTTAAGTACCCTGCTCTTTAACCAGGTAATTAAACTTTAAATGCCTTTAACTTGCCAGATTGATGATAAGACAGAGTTTTCCCAGCTTAGTACTGAAGAAAGCTACATCACCCCATGACTCTGGGTAGGAATGCATGGAATTGAACTGTCCCTCACTTGCCTGAAAACTGTTGCAGCGGGGCTTACCTCTGCATGCAAAAGCAAAGTCTGGAACGTGTGACATGGTCTTTCTTTCTGAGAAGCTCCGTCTGGCGTCTGACATTAATGCAGCAGTGTGAGAGCTGCAGTAGCAGTGCTCTTTCCCATTCTGCTGGGGAAAGATGCCTGAGAGAATGCATGGGAGGAGTCCGTGCTGCCTAGGTGGGGCCGAAAAGCATGGCGCTGCTACAGCTCCGGGACGGTCAGTGCCAGGTACAAGCCCTGTCCTGCTGAATGGCCGGGAGCATCAGCACTGCTAGATCTAAGCTGCTCTGGACCTGATCAGGCTCCTGGATGGGAGAATACAGCAAGCCAACTATAAAACTTGTCCTAGTTCCCAGCGTGAGGCTAAAACCAGTGTGAGAACCAATGTGGTGCTACCCACAAAGAGCTTTTTAACCTACCACTTTACCAAGGGGCTTCGGCTTCCAGATTCTTTGTCTCATTAAGAATGGCTGCTTTACAAGTGCTTCTTGTTTTGTTTTTCAGGGGTGGAGGGCTTCTGCTGCTTCCTTTCTATGTATTCCATTACACAAGCAGAGTTGTTTAACAGTTTACTTTCCTTGTTCTTAAAAAAAGGGGAAAGAAAAAAAGGGGGGGGAGAGAAGCAAACTTGTGAAAACAGTTGCAAAGAATGGGAGAGGCCTTGGAGGATGGCAACATCATGTAAACTCTCCCACAAACTACTGAGAGTGAGGAATCTTGAACACACAATAAATATAGGACTGGAACAGAAGAACTGCAATTCCAGCCTTCAAGAATGGGGACTGTCACCACAGCTAAACTACAGGCTAGGGAGTTGCTGAATGAACTAGAAGACTGCCTCATCATTCATGATATTCTGTCCTCCTAGTTCTCAGATGGTAAAACCAGTGTGATGACCAGTGTGGTGTAGTGGTTAGAATGTTTGGTTAGGACCTGTTTGGCCTGGGTTCAAATCCCGATTCAGCCATGCAGTGAGCGATGATCTTAGGGCAGGCACTGCTTCCTAGTGAGGCTGAAATGGGTCCTGCAAGTGTGGGAAACCATGTCTGCAAGTTTGAACTGCTTAGAGAAAAGCTGAGATGTAGGAGTAATAAATGCATCTGCCATTTTGGTTCTATCCCTTCAGGCTACAAATAAGGTCACATGTGTGAATGCACCTTCATACAGACAGGCAAACACCATGTTCCTATGTAGAGGGAAGGGAATTCTGACATGCCACTGTATGAGCAGAGGAATGCCACTGTAAGTTTCAACAACCCAGATTCCATCTAGTTATCAGGAAAAGTTTCCTTACTGTCAGAGCAATAGGACAGTGGAACCAGTTGCCTAGAGAGGTGGTGGGCTCTCGCATACTAGAGGCATTCAAAAAGAAACGGGAGAACTATCTGAGTGAGATGGTGTAAATTGGTATCCTGCAACAGCAGGGGGTTTGACCTGATGGCCTTCATGACCCCTTCCAGCTCAATTATTTTATGATTCTATGATTTCATGAATCTTTCCATAGGATCAAGAATGTGGCTTTTTCAGAGCCCCCAGTCACCTGTGTGCATGCAAGCCTGGTAATATATGATGTTGCTCTTGCCTCATGTCTGTTCCCAAAGTTCATATAATGTTTGAACAAACCCATATAAAGTTAGCATGTCAGGAAGAAGAGTTCTATTCTTCATTATTCTTATTCCACTGAACGTATATCTCCTATTTTCTTCAAGTGAGAAACACAAGACAGCTTACATGGCTCCATTTTATCCTCACAACAACCCTATGAGGTAGGTCAGGCAGATAGTCCATGACTGGCCCAAAGTCACCCAGTGAGCTCCATAACCGAGTGGGGACGAGAGCCCTGATCCCGAGTCCCAGTCCAACACTGTCAACGTCACACCACACTGGCTCTCTTCTACCTAGCCATTCCTCAGCACACAGTAGTTTCTGATGTGCAGAGACCCTAATGTTACTTTCCTTTTTTTTTTCTCTTTGTAAGGGAGGAGTATTCAGTCTGAAAAGCGAGAGAGAGCCAGGCCTCTCATACTCCAGCCCAGAGCAAACTAGCCTTTGCACATTTAAGTGGGAAGCAACCGAAGAGGCTGTGCTTGGAGAGTGCCCGGTCTCAATTCATCCGACTAGAAGCCGCACTTGCAAGCGGTAAAGGAGAGCCAAAGGGGGCGTATCTTGCAAACTCTCAGCAGCCAATGGACGAGAAGCCGGAACGCTGTTCTTTTAATAGGTCGAGAGCAGCTTCCGAAGGCGGCTGAGGATGGGTTGGCAGAGTAGCAAAGCCGAGTACCGTGCAGGGGGAACCCTCGCAGATCCTTTGGGAAAGTAGGGACGAAATCCGGCCTTAGCAGCTGTGATCTTTCCTGACCCGTCAGCTGCCACAATCCAGCCGGATCTTTAAATATAAACAAGTACTCCTGCAAACAAGCAGCACAGCCAAAACTTCGATTTTCCGAGCCATGCGGGGGAACGCTCGGCTTTTCCGAAGAGCGAGGAGCGAAACTGACTAAGCTCGGCCCGTGAAGTGGGGAGATTCGCCAGACGCCTGTTGAAATTGACCGGGCTAATCTCGTGGAGGGAAGGTGCGGGTGCGCCCGGGGGGTTTCCCCCGTTTGCCGCCCCGATGAGCCTCTGAGTGCATATCCTCCGGACTTCGTGCCTTTCTCCCCCACTTTTTCCCACCCCTCCTTTGCCTTGCTGCCAGCTCCCTCCCGCTTTCCACCCACCCTGGGTTCCGGACACCTCCCTTTCTCCTGTCTTCAATGGGCGCTTTGGATTCAGTCACCGGAGGAACCACCAACCCCACCGCCGCTGCCCTCACCATGCTGAACGGGGCAGAGAGCCAAAGTTTCGACAAGGAACCGCCGGACCTCCAGGGGGCAACGACCAAAGACGCGGCCGAGTTAAAAATCGGCGTCCACCAGGAACGATTCTACTACCCCGAGCCTCACATGCAAGAAGGCGGCTGCAATTTAGGGGTGACCTACGGCGGACCGATGGTACAGGGAGGGTTTGGGGTGAACAACCCGGCCCCTTCGGGGAGGTTTTTGGGGCCAGCCATGAACAGCTGCTCTTCCTACCGACCCCAGCCCCCTCCGCCCGTCCCCGCACCTTCTTCGGCTGGCCCTCCAGGGAATCCTAGCTACTCGGTATCAGCTGGCGAGATCTATCCAAGCACCGGGGAGCTGTACTCCAGCGCGCCCGGAGGAGAGGGCTGTTACTCGGCCGCCGTCCAGCACGTGTTTCCGAGGAGTCCCCTCTATTCGGTGCCGGGCTATCAAGTCTCCGGGAAGATCCAAGTGGTCCTCAACAACTACCCTCTCTGGGCCAAGTTCCACAAGCATCAGACGGAAATGATCATCACAAAACAGGGCAGGTGAGCCCGACCCGGGCAGCGCGTTGGAGAAGCCTCGGGGGCGCGCACCCGCCCGGAGGTTGGCTGCGGGTGGGGTGGGAAGCGACGCGGACTGGGAGCCAGAGGCGACTCTCGGTACTGGGCGTGAATTGGTGGGCCGGGGTGTCGGAGTCAGGAGTAGCGGGATCAAGGGGGAGGGGAGGGGAGGCGAAACGGGATCTTACCTTAGGATGCGCGGAGGACTTTTGGATCTGCCGGGGATGCAGCCGAACCGGGAAATTGTTGGCTAGGATAGGCACGGAATCTTCTCTTGGGGGCAAGGTGTGTTTGCAAAGGCAGGCGGGTTGCTGCCCTCCAGATGTGCAGACTGACAATTCCCATCACCCTTGACCAAGCTGGCTGGGGTTGGTGGGAAGGCCAACAGGTGCCCACCCCGGCCCTGACGTTTGTGCCCCCTGGGAGGGAGAAACTGCCCAGGAGCAGGGCCTTCGGCAGAGTGAGCTGCCACTTCAGGCAGCTGATCTAGGAGTCACGAAAAGGTTTCAGAGACATCGTTGTTGCGTGCATTATTGTTGCATCTTTACTGCCAAGGAGCAGGCGAGCAGCTTTGGTTCAACCTGTCTATGGCTACGATTTGCAGACTGCCTCAGGCTGCAAATTGCCAAGTTAGTCCTTGCAGCGGTGCACAAGTTGAAGCACATGGTGGAAGAAAGGATCTTGCTTGGGGCGTACTGAAATGTTGATAGTCATCTTGAGTCACCTGTTTCTCGAATAATAGCAGCGGCTGCTGCTCTTTGCCAGACTCCAGATTTGACTAGCACACACCCTACCCTGGGGACTTCGGCCTCTTGTTTCTAATCCCTTAGTCTAGGAGAGTTGTGCTTCTCAGTTGTGCCGCAAGTATTCCACACATGCTCAGAGGTCTTATCATTATTTTCCTCCCACATCCCAGGGCTGATAAGCAATACTGAAAAGTCTGCAGCAGTGGCTTTAAGGAAGGTGTGGGTTGTGAAGCTCATTCAGTAAAAGAGGGTTTTGTCTCATAACTTTGAGCCAGTTTCCCTATATACCAAATTAGAGCAGAGAAAATAAAGGCCAGAGATTCCATGAGTGTGTCTGAGCTATTGGCATGTGGGATATTGCAGTTAGAGTCAGATTTGGAAGGAGACCAGTGTTAGTGTTGTGTACTTTGAATAACTTTGCCCTTACTTGCCACTACAGCTGATTAACAGAATAATAATATAGAGAACTGATTGTGGCATGAGACCTTACCACTCTTACTGGGATGTTGGCGCTTCCATAGTTGTCCTTTCATGGCGAAGTCCTTTTTTCTTGTTCTTTTTTTTTTAAAATAAAAGCTTTATCACACAACATGGCGTCCACCAAAACATCACCTTTAAAACGAATGCACGTTAAGTGTAGTGTGTGTGAATTTATGTTTAAATAATACTGTTCTACTTCCTATCTTTGTAAGGAGGATATAACTTTTTGTCTGTTTCACTAGTAAATTAACCACTTAATACTTTATTTAATTGAACCTGACAGGTTAAGTCCCAGTTACAGATCTGTTATCCCACTTTCTGATTACCTTTACAGAAATTAAAAATTAGGGAGAACATTAGATAAATAAGTGAAGGCCCATTTTTATTGGTGTAGCTACAGGTTAGATGTACTTTTTGTTTATGCATTAATTCATGAGACTAGTTTGCTTCCAGTGTTTCACTATAAGAAGGAATTAAATAAATATGGCCTCATTAAAAATGCTAAATATTGCCAATGAGCGTAGCTTCTCTTTTCTAAATTGTATGTTGTTTTATAGCTCCTTCAACATCTGAAAGAGACATTTTTTAAAATAATGTCTTTGTAATCTGGAAAGCCACAGACTGCAAGCAACTAAGGCTGCAACCCTAAACCGGAAGTAAGCCCCATTAAATTTAATGGGACTTATTTCTGAGTAGAAATGTATAGGATTGTACTGTAAAGGAGTTAAAAGGCAGATGATTGATTAATTGAAAGTGTTTTAATGGGTTGACAGTGCTACTGTCATAACATTCACGAGTCACATGTTCCGATGAGCTGTTTTTGTTGCCACTAAACATGCTAGGCCCAACTTAGCCAATGTCTGTGTTCTCAGTTGTGGGTTGATTCTGTGTGAATGTGTGTGAACACAGGGAGCAAATCTTATTGGCTCTCACACTGACCACACAGGAATGACTAAGGATGCGATTCTAAGCGGGCTTAAGATGGAAGAAAGTCTTACAACTTACAGCATTCCTGGAACAATAACTGGGAGATGTTTTAATGTCCAGGCATGTGTAGGGTTGCACCCAAGTTCCATTAAAGAAATTCTTGTTACAGAGCACCTGAAATCAGGCATAGAATTGTGAATATAGAGACCAAGGAATATATTATGTTCAACATCCAAAGTAAAGTAGTTACATTATAAGGCATTTTATATAACTTGAAAACACTTTTATTTTGCAAGTGAAATCTCTATTAAAATTTGGCAGTCACCCATTCCTGGCCAAATTAAAGTTAGAAAGAAAGAAAGAAAGAAAGAAAGAAAGAGAAAGAAAGAAAGAGGTACAGTGTCATGCATAGCTGCGCACAATCATTTATTGTTTCTTTTGCATTGTTTTGACTTTGTATCCGGCTCTTCCTCCAAAGCGCTTAGAGCACGTTATATAGCTTACAATCATTTCAAGGAACCTTTAAAAGGATGGAGAGACTTTGTAAGCAAAGAGACAGAACTGGCCCAGGGTCAAAGACACCAAATCCCAGTTTACAGCCCCATTCACTCCATTTTTCCACTTGGTGTGCAATGTGCATGGTGACTCTGGTGCAGTTTGTGGGCACCTATTTGACAGTTCAAGAAAGCCATTTGAAAATATAGCTGTTCATGCTACTGGCCAATGCTGTCCCTATCACTGAGCCAACAAAGCAAAATAGGACGTCATGTGTGAATACACCCCCCCCCCCCGGCTTTTCAGGATGGGAACAGGCAAGGAAAACAGCGAAGTCTCTTGTGTGTTGATAATTTTATCTGCACACACCGTTATGGGGAGGGAGAGCTCAGCCATGGTATATGGCTTTAAACATGCCAGTCCTCAGCCTTGGGAAGTATGAGGCAAAAAATACAGCGCACAAGTACACTGAGAAAGAATCGGGGCTTGGAGGAAAAAGCTTTCAAATGAGGGTTCGGAATATCTAGACTCTCCTGCAGTGCAGCCTCCCTTATTCTAGAAATTAAGCATTAAAGACATGAGTGCGCACACTCCTGCCTCTCACCTTTCTGCATGTCTCCTCCAGGCTGTTCACTGTCAGGTCAGCAAATCTTCCTTATTCTCCATCATCAGCCCCCCCCCCCCCCCGCCACATTTTCCCACCACCACCGATTTTTTCTTCTCCACCATCCGCTCCAATCCTGCTCAAGTTCCTGTGGATACTGGTAAGGTGCTGAGTGTTGGTGGTTTCTTTTTTTAACCTAGCTGGAAATCCCCAGGTACCACCTCTGCAATACGGGGGGGTGGGGGTGGAGCAGATGGGGAACTTCACCCTGGGCATATTATCTGAGGAAGCATCCTCTTCTCTGCCCCACAGGCTTGCCAGGATTTGGGGGGCTGGTTGGGGAAGAGAGTGGAAGAGCTTTCCTTCCCAGCCTTTCCTCCACACAACCCCCAGCCACTTATGTAAAGGCTTGCTTTGGGTTCTGCATGAGTCAATCATAAAGAGAGCGAGGGATTAGGAGAAAGGAATTGAATGGGTGCCAAGGTTCAGAAGCAGGCAGGGTCCCCAGGCAGTAGATGATATGGGTCACAGCCATGCAAGCTGCAGCCGACACCAAAATCCTTTCCGCCTCTTTCAGCCTTGTGCATACCAAGCCTTTTAAAGCTGTACTCTTTGCAAAGCTGCCTTCCCTCCCTAGACGCATTCACACGGTTCCTTGATTCAAGTTGAACAGATCAGTAATAGCAGGCGTCACATCAGCCTGTGTTCCAACCAAGGGTTGGCACTCGCATCACGTTTCATACTGGAATGGTGCAAAATCCATGTACAGGATAAAAAAGACGTAAGTTGAGGCTGAAGGGCACATATCTAGAGGCCAACCCTATCACTGGGCTGGATGAGCACACTGGGAATTGTAGAATGATTTTCTATGTAAACATGCATATGATTGAACCCGGAATGTATTATAGTTGGATTTTTACTGCCAAGAGGAAGACAGGCAGTTGTATGTTTCTCTGCCTCTGTGTAATAAACTGACAGGCCTTGACTAGTCAAGTGGGGTGGGAGTACCATTTGCTTCCCTAGGTCAGGCAGCGAAATATCTTCATTGCCTCTGTGGAGAAGTCATGTGTCTCTCTATGAAAATGCTCAGAATTGCGGGTTTCATGCTTTCTGGTTTAGACTTCTTAAGGCAATATACATTGAAATTGACATCTGCTTTCTTGATGGAAGGTATACACATTGTTTCACCGACCTGTTTACAGTGCACAGATTAACTATGCCTATGAGACATAATGTGTGGAGAAAACCAATGTGGTGCAGTGTTTAGACTGGGATTTAGGAAACCTAGATTTAGTCTTCATTCAGCCACACAACTCATTGGGTGACTTTGGGACAGTTGTGGACTCTCAGCCCCTAACCTCGCAGGATTGTTGTGAGGATAAAATGGGAAGGAAGAAGATCATTTAAGCTGCCTTGATCTCTTGGAGGAAAAAAGGCAGGTAATCAACATAATAATACATAAACAAAAGATTTAATTGATCTTGGGATGAAACTCTTTATGTTCTTTTCTTAGCCAAAAAGCAGAGGGGAAGTGCCATCTGGATCAGGGTGGCAACACTGGGAAAGGTGTTGCCTTCTCCATCACCAAATCATTTTTCCTGGCTGTTTTTTGTCCGTTCTATTCTCCCCCTTTTTACTTAGTATTAAAGCTGTAAGAGGTGGGAACAGGCTGCAGGGCCCTCGAAGTTGCCCATCTATACTTTACCACACAGAGCAGACTGAATAGCTCTGAG